GAAATGGGAAGGAATTTCCAATTTCCAAGCCCCAGATTTGTCAGCTGGGCTGAGTAGCAGACGAATCTGGCAGCACCAGCAATCCTGGGGCACTTTTATCTCCCGTGGCAGCATCTCTGCAACCCCATCCTTTAATTACAGGGAGCTGAAGGGAGCCTGGCATGGAGACGAGGTGGGAACTTGATTTGGAATGCAGGGAACGGGGTGATTTAGATGTTTTTTCCAAGGATAACCTGTCATCCTCTGAGGAGTTCACCCCCAGGTTTCCCCTCTCCCCCCACAGCCACAAGCAGAGTAATTTGTATTTTCTTTCCCTTATCCCTGCGTATCTCCCCTCACCTGCTCCTCTTAAGCTGCCTGGGCTGTAATCCCCTCTCAGCAGCCTTCCCTGAAAAGTGACAGGGAACAACAGCAGCTTATTCCTCAAGCTGCTTTCATGGCAGGGCCTCTAACAGCCCCTGTGCTGTTACCTTCACTTTGCCACCATTCCCACCAAATTTTCTTTTGAGTCGGCTTTGATTTTCTTGGCTTTGTGTTAAAAAAAGGAAGTCTTGGGTTACAGAGGGTGGAGGAGGATTTGGGAGTGGTTTTGGCTGTCACACCTCCTCATTCCCTATGGATTATTGATAATATCAGAAATTAGGAATATCTTTTTCGTGGTAAGAATTGTCAAACCCTGGCGCCAGGAGTCACCATCCCTGGAAGTGCTCAGAAAACACATGGATGTGGCACTTTGTGGCTTAGTGGTGCTGGGTTGGTGGTTGGACTGGGTTTTAGGGCCCTTTTCCAGCCTTGCTGATTCCATGATATGTTACAAACACCCACATCTGCTCCAGGGTTTGCCTCTGTGCATCTCACAGGGACAGGAATTGTTCCCTTGCTCCAGGTGCATGGAATGGATGTGTGACACATCCAGGATTTGCTTGTGAGGCTTCCCTGCTCTTTCCCCATGTCCCTGCTTCCTGAAATTCTCTGTGCAGTTGTTCAGGCTCCATTTCCAAAGGGTCTTTGTCTGCTGCTCCCCTCCCAGCTGATCCCAGCGCCTTTGCTGCCAGGAGGGGTTGGTGGTGCTTCTCCAAAGGCTTTGGAAAGCTCTCCTCATCCTTGCAGGGGTGTTCTTGGAGGGCTTGGCTGTGTCTGTGGATGGCAGAGGATCTGCAGAGCCTTGGTGCCAGGCTCTGCAGCAGCAGCATTTGTCAATAACGTGCATGAGATGGTTGTGGAGACACTGGGGCCACGTGTGGAGTCAGGAATTCCTCGGAATAACTTGGCACCAGCAGGAGCCCAGCTCTCCCTCTCCCCCTGCACGGGTGTTTGGCACCCCTGGCACTCACCCTGGGATTGTGTTTCTGTCCACACAGGGAGAAAAACCTGGGCAGGGCTTGAAACCCCTTCTCCATGAATGCCAGGGCAGTTCAGAGCTGCTGGGCTCTCAGGAATTCAGGATTCCTTGATTCCTTCAGGAGCCAGAGGCAGCTTTGCCTCAACCCAGAGCAGTCCAAGGAAGATCCTGCCCTGCCTGAGCTGATCCTGCATGGAAATTAAACCAGGGAGAGTGGGGAAGAGTTCAGTGGGCACAGGGAGGGCTTGGTGTGCACAGGGAGGGCTTGGTGGACACAGGGAGAACTTGGTGGGTACAGGGAGAGCTCCTTGGGCACAGGGAGGGCTTGGTGGGCACAGGGAGAACTTGGTGGGCACAGGGAGAGCTCCTTGGGCACAGGGAGAGCTTGATGGGCATAGGGAGGGCTTGGTGGACACAGGGGAGAGCCCCTTGGGCACAGGGAGGGCTCAGCTGGAATAGAGAGAGTTCAGAGGGCACAGTATGAGCTTGGTGGGCCCAAGGAGAGCTTGACTGGCCCAAGGAGAGCTCATGGGCACAGGGAGAGCTCAGCTGGCACAGAGAGAGGGCTCAGCTGGAACAGGGAGAGCTCCTTGGGCACAGGGAGAGCTCAGCCACAAATGACCCAACCCTTTGCTGATGGAGGACAACCACACTGAGGGAACCTCCAGTAGAGGTTTTGAACTAAAAAAGGGGAGATTTTAACAGGAGATTGGGAAGGAATTCTTCCCTGTGAGGATGGGGGTGGCCCAGGTTGCCCAGAGAAGCTGGAAAACACTTCCTCATCTCTGGAAATGCCCAAGGCCAGCTTGGAGCACCCTGGGACAGTGGGAGGTGCCCTGCCCATGGCAGGGGGTGGAACGGGGTGATTCAAGGTCTCTTCCCACCCAGGGAATGTGGGATTCCACAGTTCCCAGTGGCCAGGGGAGCTCAGGGCGCTCGGAGCCGGGCACGGCTGCGGCTCCAGGGAGCTGGGCCCCCCTGCTCTCGGAAATGCAGCGTATAATCTATGCATTAAAAGTCCTTGTGAGACAGGAGCTGCTGTGCCTACACAGTTCCAGCCTCTTCAGATCCAGCCCTGTAGATATTTTTTAAAGCTCTGCCTGAGCACAGTGTCCTTCCATTACGGGCTGCGAAATTGCACCGAGTCGATACCGGGAATAAAAAAGGGGGGGGGAAAAAATATCAAAATCGAGCCTTTTTTTTCTCCTCCCTTTTTAAAACCCAGATTTAACTTCAAAGTGAATGGAAACTGCGTTGCTGATCGTTTTGTGAGCCCTCCCTCGCTGCTTGTTCCGAGGGGAAGGGTTGGCTCTTCCCTGTGGAGCAGGTTGGGGGTGGAAGTGGCTGCGTGTGACTCCGCTGGAGTCCCGTGGCTCTGTTCAGGCAGGAACCCTGGCAAGTGCCAGGGAAAGGCCAGGAAAACACCACTAACAGCTGGGTTTGGGTGCCAGCACGAGGCTCAGTGGTTTGGGGACATCTTAGGAAGGGTTTTCCAAGATTTGCTGGATGTGGTGGCCGTGCTCAGGGCTTGGTGCACAGCAGGGAAGGGAGGATTCCCCAGCCTGGAATCTCTTCTGGCATTGCCACGTCTGGATTCCCACTGTGGAGGAGCAGCTCAGCTCATCCCCATGGTCTTTATTCCCTGCTTTAGGATTTGTGTCCTTCCCAAACCTCCCCCAGCAGGGACAGAACGTAAAAGAAACCAGGAAAGCCTCTGGGCTGATGGAATCCTTCCCATCATTAACAGTTGGGAGAAATTCCAATTCCAAGGTGAAATTCCTGCAGGAGCTGTCACCTTGAGCTGCTGGCGTTGTGTGTGTGCCATGTTGGGAAAGGGCATCCCTGGCACAAAAACATCCCTGCAAGTGCACCAGGCCAGGCTGGAGTGGGCTTGGAGCCTCCTGGGCCAGTGGAAGGTGTCTCTGCCCCAGCTGGAGTGTCCTTTCCAGCCCAAACCATTCCCTGATTCCCTGAACCCAAACCTGTATCCCATGAGACCCCTCAACCTGGCCACCCCTTCCTCCATCCCTATTTCCCTAACCCTTCTCCTGGCAGATTTTTGAGCTTTACAGAGAGGTAGGAGAGATTTTAGCAGGCCAGGAGCTGGTGAGGCCGTGCCTGGAGCCTGCAGCATCCAGGACATGGCTCCCATTTAAATATAATGGGATTGTGTGGGATGGTGCCCATAAACAGCAATGTCAGGGCAGAGCATCTGATCCTCTCCAGGCAGCTGGAGCAGCTCCCTGATGACTTTTCCAGGTTGTTCCTCATCCCCAATCTGTTGCAACAGAGGGAGAATATCATGGGATATATATTTATATTTATATTTATGTGGATTTGTTCTGTGCCAGCCTCGGGGGATGTGCAGGACCGGGCAGGATTGAAGGATCACATCCCCAGCTCACCCAGGGATGCTCCACACAAACTCTTGGATACAAAAATTCCCATTTCTCCCTGCTCCTGGCGTTTGCCCTTTGCAAACAGGCTCAGGGATGAAAGTTTTCTCTCAGCACCCACCAGCCCAGCCCATCAGCACCCTCCAGAGTGAGCAGAAAATGGGATTTTGATAGGGCTGCAGTGGCTGGGAACACCCGTGGTTCTGCCTGAACCCTGGATTTGGGTCACATCCAAAGCAAATTACACTCATCAAGTGACATTTGTGCCTTTTCTTTATCCTAATGGCCCCCCAGGTTGGATTTCTATTTCTATTTCTATTTTATTTTTCCATTTTAAGAGGTGGGAAAGCTGTTTGTTCCCTCGTGGAAGTAAAATCCATCACCAGGCTGCTCAGAGAAATTTTGCACCACCAATCCCAGGCCTCAAACCCCCAAAATAACCATGGAATTTATGAATATTAAATTATTATCTCCAGAGGGAGTATCACCTTTTTGATCCCAACCCACAGCCCTGGTATCCCCTGGGATAATTCGATTTTGTGGAATTAAGAGGCAGGAGCAACGTTCCAGTTCCTGCTTTTCCCTTTTCTGTCACATTCAAAAATATTCTCCATCAGATGTTCATGTTTCCTCAATTTGTAACACATTTTAATAATAGGAATCTTTCCCATCGCCTGGGTAAATTGTTGGATGCTGTGAATCCTTCTGGGGAGGGCTCAGGGCTCCTCTTCAGCTGGGTTTGTGACCCAAAAAGAGCAAAAATTTGCTGAAAAAAGAACAAAAAACCAATCAGAAAAAGCAAAAAATTAACCAAAAAAAGCAAAAAAATTATCAAAAAGAGCAAAAAATTAACAAAAAAAGCACAAAAAAACAAACCAAAAAAGCCAAAAAATAATATCCAAAAAGGAAAAAAAATTATGCAAAAAAATAATACCGATAATATTTAATTATTAACTGTAAATTAACTGTATTAATTTAAAATTTAATCGGCAGTTAATATTTATTTTGCACTCATTTTTTTCTTTTTCCTGGACTTTTATTACAACTTCTCTACCTCTTCTTTCCCTTTCCAACCAGGAACTGGGGAATCACCACATTAATTAAGAATATTCCAAATTCCAGGATGGTTTGGCTTGGAAAAACCTCACCCACTGTCACAGCAGGAAACTTCCTGCTGCACCAGGGTGCTCCACAATTTCCTCGGATGCTTCATCCACCCAAAATATCCCATCCCAAGCCTTTCCCATCTTTTTTTTTTCCAGGTTCAGCAGCGTCTTCCCGAGCCTGAACATGGCAGTGAAGCGCCGGGAGCAGACGCTCCAGGACTACAAACGCCTGCAATCCAAGGTGGAAAAATATGAGGAAAAGGAGAGAACTGGGCCTGTCCTGGCCAAGCTGCACCAGGTATTGAGGTGTCCCCAGAGCCACAATCCCAGCAGCATTCCTGGGAAAACTCAGGAAAAGCTTTTCCCTCTATCTGGCATCTGTGCCATGAATAGAACATTTTGGGAGGATGTCTTTTATCCGTGTAAAAATCACATTTTTGACAGCACAACGCTGGTTTTGAGTGCTCAGTGAAGGGAAGGAGCTGCTTTTCTGAGAGAAAATGGAATTTTTTTTCCGAGAGAAAATGGAATCAGAGCCCTGGGAGCCCTGGGGGAGCTCGGAGCCAGCGCTGAGGTCGAGGCACAGGGGGGTTCCCCCCGACCTCCGCGTCTGAGCGAGCAGCTGGATGGGGAAGGGAACAGATCAGAGCATTTCCCAGCTTTATGTTTGCCACCTGTTCCCAAAAAATTCGTCTTGGAAAATTGCAGTAATTGGTTAACAGGAAGTTTTGCCAGATTCTTTTTGCTCTCTCCCAAATTTTGTGAAATCGTGATGAGTTTGTTGGTTTTGTTGTTTTTTTTTTTAAATCAGATCTTCCCCAGCGTTTTTCCCCAAAATCTGTCGCTCCAGCACCACGTGGCTTGATCCTCCCAGGAACAATTGATTCTCAGAGTCAAAGAAAATGTGTTTTTCTGATGAATTTCCCCCCAAAAATGAAGTTTTGTGTTAAATAACAGCCTGAACAAAAGACACCTCTGGTTTAACAGTAAGCAGCTTATTTTGCTCAGCCTCAGCAACTAAAGCTGGGGCTGGAAAAATGGGAATTCTTTTGTCTGGTGATTAAGCAGGGTTTAGTTATTTCATATATTTTTCCTCTTAATGAACTTTTGATCTAATTCTCCCCCCCCCACCCAAAAAAAAATCTTAACCAAACACTGAGTTTAAACACCTGTGAGAGGGAGCCTTGAGCAATCCTGAACCTGGAGTATCCAGAGAGTCTGGATTTAATGGGAGATGGCCCCATCTCATCCAGGTATTTTTAATTATTGAGCTGCAAATTTACATCCATTGTTTGCTCCAAGTTTTCTGCTCTTCTGCCCCCTGTGAAGTCCATCCTGGGAGTTTCCCCAATGAACTCCATCCCAGTTTTCCCCTGGTTCCATCCTGGGATTTTCCCACCATGAACTCCATCCCAGGAGTTTCCCCCATGAACTTTATCCCAGGAGTTTTTCCGCATGAACTCCATCGCAGGAGTTTGCCCCACGAACCCCATCCCAGGAGTTTGCCCCATGAACCCCATCTTGGGAGTTTTCCCCATGAACTCTATCCCAGGAGTTTTCCCCATGAGTTCCATCCCAGAGTTTTCCCCCCATGAACCCCATCTTTGGAGTTTTCCCCATGAACTCTATCCCAGGAGTTTTCCCCATGAGTTCCATCCCAGGAGTTTTTCCCCGTGAACTCCATCCCAGGAGTTTTCCCCATGGGTTCCATCCCAGAAGTTTCCCCCCATGAACTCCATCCTGGGAGTTTCAACGCTCCCAGCCTCATGGCAAATGATGAATTTGCTCCTTTGCTGGGCTGATTCCAGCCTTTTCCAGCCTGGAGCCCAGTCCATGCCATGCCCCTGGCACGCTGTCCCTGTCCCCAGGGCCGGCGCCGCGGCCGGGCCGGGCTCTCCCGCTCCCCCCTCCCGTCGGAATGGCACCGGGATTAAGTGGCAGACTTGAACTGGTCTAATATTTCACAGCCCACCCCCTCCTGCCCTTTTCCACACCATCCCCGAGACATTTCCCGTTCTCCCCACGCTCTGTTTAAAGGAGCCAGTTGGATGCACTGAGCTGAAGGTCACGGTGACGGTGGGGGCAGGATGCTGGAGCGACATTCCTGGGAATAGCAGGGTGAGGGGACAGGGATGTGGCCAGGGACGTTCTCCAGCCTGACTGAGCTCTGGGAATGGGTTTTGTCTGTTTTTCTGAAGGAGAGAAGGCACAACCTCTTTGGGTGTCCTGTGGATTTCCAGGGTCAGAGCACGGGTCCATTGGATGGTCCCATCAGAATCCATCAACTGCTCACTTAGGCCCCACCAGGTTCCATTGAGAGGTCACTTGAGCCCCACCAGGTTCTATTAACTGGTCACTTGGATCCCAGCAGGGTCCATTGTATGGTTACTTGAGTCCCACCAGATTCCATTTGATGGTCACTTGGATCTCAGCAGGGTCCATTGAATGGTCTCTTGGATCCCATCAGGGTCCATTGAATGGTCACTTGAGTCCCACCAGATTCCATTGAATGGTCTCTTGGATCCCATCAAGGTCCATTGGATGGTCTCTTGGATCCCACCAGGGTCCATTGAATGGTCTCTTGGATCCCACCAGGGTCCATTGTATGGTTATTTGAGTGCCACCAGATTCCATTGAATGGTCTCTTGGATCCCACCAGGTCCCATTGAATGGTTTCTTGGATCCCACCAGGTCCCATTGGATGGTCACTTGGATCCCATCAGGGTCCATTGAGTGGTCATTTGGATCCCACCAGGTCCCATTGGATGGTCACTTGAGTTCCACCGTTGGATGGTCACGTGGATCCCACCAGATTCCACTGGATGATCCCATGGGTCCCACCAGGCTGGTCACTGCTCGTCCCCACAACCAAGCAAAGCACCCCATTGTCCTGGGGTGGCCTCCATGCCAGGGGGATCCCTGTCCCAGGACTCTGACCCCCTCCATGTCCCCCCGCAGGCCCGGGAGGAGCTGCGCCCAGTGAAGGAGGACTTTGAAGCCAAGAACAAGCAGCTCCTGGAGGAGATGCCCAAATTCTACAGCAGCCGCATCGATTACTTCAAACCCAGCTTTGAATCACTGGTCCGAGCACAGGTGAGAAATTGTCCCTCCCTGGTACCTGTGTCGTGTCCTGTGCCACGGTTCCAGCCCTGCCTGTGCTTTATCCACTGGAATTCCATGGCTTTATCCACCTGGGAATGCCATCTCCTTGAATGTGGAGTCCTGAACTCAGGACCTGGTTAGGTTTGAGGTGTTTGGGCTCATCTTGTGGCTCCTGGTGAGTGGAGAAGAGGCTCCTGGGACACCTCCAGAACAAAGATTTGTTGGAAGAGGTGCCCTGAATAACCACCAGCTTTCATTTCCATCCTCCATCTTCCTTCTGAATGTGCTGTGGCTCCTCCTCCTCCTCTCTTCTCCCTTTGCCCTTTCCCTTAGAGGCTGCAGAGGGGCAGGGTTGGGATCTCACCGAGCTTTGAGAACCTCTGGCACCCCGTGCCGCGGCTCCCGGGGCGGTCCAGCGCGGGGAGGAGGGCGGAACCGGGCGCTGCCCGCGCCGTGGGCGTTTTCCTGCGGCATTTTGGGGCCGGGAGCTGCCGCAGGGACCCAGGTGCGCTGCGGGGGGGCCGCCGGGAGGTGCCGGGAGCACGTGTTCCATCTCACCTCCGACTTGGGGGGGCCTCTCTGCGGAGCTGCCAGCGAGTTGTCTGCAGGCTGATTCACCTAGCAGATGGTGCCGATGCTCCCTGCGCCGCAGGGTGGGTGCTGGGGATGCTGTTCCTGCTGTTCCCTTAGCAATCGGGCACGGGGCTCCCTGTTCCAGCCTGGAATAACCACAATTCCCAGAGTCTTGCTCGCCCTTTCCCCCCTGTGGACCCCCTCCGTGGGTGAGACCTTGAAACCTGAATTTTCTCTGCCCTCTCCGGGGTTTGTGATCCGTGAGTTTCCTCAGCTTTGCCCCTCTGGTTTCTCGCTCCGTTTGTGTCCCGATTCCCAAGGAATTTGGGGTGAGGAGGACGTTGGGATAGGTGTGCTCAGAGCGCCCAGGGATGCAAGCAGGGAGCAGCAGGGTGTCACTGCTGGGGCTGTCTGTGAGACTCTCCATCCATATCCCTCTTCTTCCTTGGGAATCCTCTGCTTTCTTTCCTGTCTATCCCCCCTGCCTCTCTTCAGGTGAGGAATTTGTTGGGAAAACCGAGTGAAATCCCGTTTTTATCACCCAAAAAGGCAGCGTCACAACAAAGCTGATGCATCTCCCGTAGGCTGGACTTAAAGCTGGTCCCAGATGGATGCAGCTCCTCACATCCCTCCCTCCCTGCCAGCCTCCATGGGAGCTGCATCCCTGTTCCTTCCCAGCACTGGCTGCATCCTTCCACCCCCGGGGAGAGATGCTGGGAGGAGAGCTGGGAATATTTGTGCCAAAGCTGGGCTTGGGCTCCGTGTGCCCCCCTGGCTCGGGAGCTCTGTGAAGCATTTTCCCACTGAAGTGGCTGAAAAAAAATGGAAAAGGGATGTGATTTGCCCAGGGTAGTGAGTCAGTGGCGAGCCAGGAATAGCAGCCAGAGCCCTGAGTCAGCTCAGCACTGCTCACCTGCAGGCACCTGGCTGGGAAGGGCAGGCAGGAGCATCCCCATCCCAGGAGAGAGCTGGCATGGAAACACTGCCCAGCTTTCCCTCCCTCTGTGCCTGCCTGAGCTGATTAGCAGCTGGGGAGGGTCGTGTTCCTCGATGTAATTTCTATTTTCAGCCTTTTCTGCAGGTACCTCTTTAGGAGTGGGATGAGGCTGGAGGTGAATCCCACAAGGAAAAGGCTGGATGGGGTGAGACAGGGATCAGCTGGCCCCGTGCAGGCTGCTGTGACTTTGGGGTTGTTTCTCCCTGAGTCAAACCCACCATCCAAAGGCAAAACCATGTCATTTTCCTGATTTTTTGGCCCTGGAGGCAGCCGGGACTTAAAGCAAGACGAATTGTGTGACAGTGACACCATCCAGTGCCACGATGAGCTGGGAAGGGACCAGCTGCCTCTCGGGGAAGGACCCTGCTCCCAAGCACCTCCATGGCTTTGACCCAAGGAGACCCTCCCAAGGCTCTTCCCCGGGCGAGTTCCCATGGCACAGCCTGGCTGTGCTCCCAGGGCTGGCTGTCTCCTGATGCCGGGACATGTCCCGAGCTCGCAGGGCTGTAACATTCAACACCAAATTCTTCTCTCCACCCACGGGCCCGGGCCAAGCCAAGGGAGGCAAATATTTCCCTGGCTGGGGGCTTTGAAGTGGCCACATGGAGATGAAAGGGGGAGATTTTGGAGCTGTCGCTGGTGTGAGGCGTGAACAGCACTTCCTTCCCGCTTTGTGCTTTATTTTCCAGCTAGAAAACAGGAGATTCCTTTGGATTTGAATGGAATGGGGGGGAAAGGTGGGGCTGGCAGGCAGGGATGGTGCTGAGGGCTGGGGGAGCCTGGCCCTGGCAGTGCCCCTGGGTTTGTTTTGGGTAGGGCTGCCCCAAACAAGCGGCCACTGGGCCATTGTAGCCAGGATCTATAGAAAATCCACGGAACACAGCGTCCCCAAACAGAATTAGTTCAAGACAGGTGGACTCGGGGCCGTTGGCTCAGGCTCAAAGGCGAGTTGGAGCTGGGATTTGATGGGCTGGGGACAGAGCATATGGCATCCATAGCTGGAAAAGTACTGGGCTGGCAGAGCAGGTAGGGCAGGGTGAGCTGGCTGCCCCCTGTCACTGCCATCAGTTTGGGGTGCATCCCCTCCCTGGGAGGGCTTTCACTCCTGTTTGAACAGGAGAAATCATGGGGGGGTCGATGCCAGTGGGATTTTGTTGATGAAGCTCGGCAGACTCGGCTGGCGAGGCAGGGCAGCGGCCGCGTGGTGCCAGGCACTGGGGCCTGCTGGGGGAGAGGAGCATTCCCAGGGATGCCCACCAGGCCCTGGGGACACGGGGTGTCCCCAAGGACACCCACCAGGCCCTGGGGACCTGGGGTATCCCTGGGGAAGCGATCGGTGGCTGCGGGATGTGGGTGGAGGGGGAGCAGCACCGGGGAGTTTGCTCTGCTCTGCCCGTTCAGTGCAGTGTGTGTGCTGGGGGGCAGTCCTGGGGACAATCCTGGGCTCAATCCTGAGGAAAATCCTGGGGGACAATCTTAGGGTACAATTCTGGTCCTGGAGGAATTCTCAGGGATTTCTGGATCCTGGTGGAGGGGCAGTTCTGGAGGCAATCCTGGGGGACAATTGTCCCCAAATCCTGGGGAACAATCCTGGGACCAATCCTGAGGGACAGATGTCCCCAAATCTTGGGGGACAACCCTGGGGGCAGCATCTGCCTCCAGGCCTGCCACCCTGACAAGATTCAGCTTTTTCCGTGCTGGATTTGGCAGTGCCACTTGGCCATATGTGACTGAGCAGAGCCCAGGCTGACTCCAGCCTGGGGACAAGGGACACGGAGGGCTGCTCCAGGGCTCTGGCACCCCGCTTGGCACCCCTGCCCCCCAGATCCCTGCTCACCCGTGGCATTGCCAGAGGATTTCAGGTGGTTTTGGCATCTCTGGCTGGCAGCGGGGTTCAGAGGATGTTCAGGGTGACCCAGCTGTGGGGTTGTGGTTTGGGGGGCGTGCAGGGGTTTTGGGGGGCCCCTGCCAGCTCAGCCCTGTGTGGGGTTCGTTAGTCACTGTGTAAATGAGCATTGCTGTGACTCAGCTGGCGCCGCTGCGTGGGGAGCCCCGGCCACGGAGCAGCCCCCGGGCCCCTGGCATGGCCAGGCCTGGGAAGGGGGGTTCAGGCAGCCAGCTCTGGAATGTGGGATCCCCACCACACCCTCTCAGGCCTGCCCAAAATCGGCATCATTTTGAGCAGGATTAGGGGAGCTGGTCTCCATGGAGACCGTGGATGTCTCAGCACCGGTGCTGCTGGAGATGCTGGGGCCCTTGTGGGAAATGGGGACAGAGCTGGCATTGCCCACCCTGGGGGGCTGTGCTCCCCTGTCCCTCCCTGGGGGATGTGGGGGGATATCCAGAGCAGGATCCCACACCTGGCCCGGCACCAGGGGTCCTGCAGTGCCAGGGGTCCCACAGGCAGGTCTGGGGGTCCTGTGGCACCCGGGGTCCTACAGCAAGGGGCTCAGTGGTACCCGGAGGTTCTGTAGTTCCGGGGGTCTCACAGGCAGCACTGGCATCCCACAGCACCAGGAGTGCCCAAGCAGCATTGGGGGTCCCACAGTCAGGGCTGGGCCCCCCCAGCGCTGGAGGTCCCGCAGCACGAGGGTCCCGCAGTGCCGCTGGTCCTGCGACACCGAGGGGGTCCCACAGCCCCGAGGGTCTCCCAGGCAGGGCTGGGACCCCCCCTCTCCCCGCTGGAGCCCGCGCCCGAGCAGCCACCCCGCTGCCATCTGCCTGCGCTGACCCACGGGCTCCCGCGCCGGCAAGCGCTGCTCGCTGCCGGAGATAATTGGCGGTGCTAATTAGCACGTTATTAACACACCCCTCCTCCTCCTCCTCGCCGTGCTTCACATGGGGCACGGCGCTGCCGGGCGTGCCCCCTCGCCGAGCCCACCGAGCCCCTCGCCCTGCCCACCGTGCCCAGCGGGCCGTGGGCTGGCAGCTCGTGCCGGTGGCACCGGTGACAAACGAGGGGACGGGGCGGCTGCGGGAGGGTGGCGGTGCCGGTGGCAGCCCCGCACGCGCGGCTCCCAGATGGGAAGCGAGCAGAGAAGGGCAGCGTGTTATTAAAATGTGTTGAGTTGTAATAATCCGAGGGGGTGGCATGGCCACGTGGGAGGGAGCTATTTCAGACACCACCGCCGCGCAGAGGGGCTGCCGAGGGCACCCGCGGGGGGGTGGGCTGGGGAGGAGACCCCCATTCCCCTCCCTCCCCAATCCCCCTTCATCCAACAGGTTGTTTACTACACGGAGATGCACAAGATTTTTGGGGACCTGACGGCGCAGATCGACCGGCCCGGGCTGAGCGACGAGCAGCGCGAGCGGGAGAATGACGCCAAGCTGGGCGAGCTCCGCGCCCTCTCCATCGTGGCCGACGACTGAGGCCAGGCTGGGGATGGGGAGGGGATGGGGATCCCCCCCTTTCACCCCGGCTCCCATCCCAGGGATGGACTTGTGGGGCCGGAGCTGCTCCCGTTGCCCCACGGCTCTGCGCTCCTGCCGGGGTCCGGATCGTCTTTGTCAGGCCGTGAATGAGTTGTGCCTTAAATTTTGGGGTGTGGAGGAGCAGGAAAGGGAGAGATCCCGCTCGGATGAAGATGGGGAGTGGGATGTGGGGATGCTGGATTTTCCCAGGTTCCAGCCTCCCTTGGCACCCCCAGAGCCCAGAGGGTGAGACCCCCACTCCTTCCCCTCATTTTGTGCCTTAGTAGCCCAGTGGTCCCCTCAGGGGAGGGGAAATTCACTCAAATCCCATTTTTTGAGGTACAGGGAGAGGGTGATGCTTGTCATGGTGAGCATCCATCCCTCTTTTCCCAGGAATGCTACAAAGAGCCTGTGCCCCAGAGCTGGGGGGTGCAGGGTGTGCCCAGGGGACCCCAGAGCAGGGACAGGTGGGGACATCCCTAAGGGAGACAACCCAGCCAGGAGCAAACCTATGGAAAACTGGGGGGCTGCACCCCCTCCTCGGTGTGCGGAAGGACCGCAGGGACTCCGTGGCTTGTCCCCAATAAAGTTTTTGGCAGCGCAGCGCGGCCGGGGCCGTGTCGGTGCCACCGCCGGGGCCGGGCCGGTGTCGCTGTCACCGCCGGGCCGCTGTCGCCCTCTGCCGCCGCCCGGCCGCCACTGCAGGGGGGACACGGGGGGCTTGGGGTGTCCCTGGAAGGGAAAAATGGGATTGAACATCCCCCCGTGGCGGCGCGGCAAGGAAACGGCCTCAAAGCACGAGAAATGGAGTTTTCCAGTACTACAGAGGCAATTTGGGGCAGGGCTGGAGCCTTTCAGGATAAGGAGAGGCTGCCTGCTGTGCCCTGGGGTGAGCAGATGCTGCTTGGGATAAGGGGTTGGAAGCCCACCCTGGTGAGGTGGTGAGGTTCTGGTGGAGGTGACAAAGGTCCCTCCTCTGCCTTGGGGTGGCACGAGGCTCCTGCTGCTCCAGGTGAGGGCACACGGCTCCAGACACCAGGGAAACCATCACCACCTCTTCTCACCAGGACCTGGGTTTGGCAAACCTGCACGAGACAGGGCTCAGGGGTATCCTGGGAAGCCCAGCAGAAAATGGGGATGGAGCCCCTAAAACCAAACCTTCCCTTCCCAGCTGGAGCAGAGCCATGGGAAGGCTGGTGGCTGTCCCCAGTGCACAGTGAGGTCCCCCCCAGAGCATCCCATGCCAAGGCTCCTCCCCAGCTCCCAGCAGGGAGAACTTCATCCCTCCCTCTCCCCTTGGCTGTTCCTTCCCAACCACATCACATGCCAGGCCAGGTTTAAGCAAAATAAACCCAGTTGCCACGGTTACCCAGAGCAGGGATGCTAAATATACAGAATATAGATATTTATATATATATTTAACTGCCACGCATGGAGCCCGTGAGCCCAAGCAAGGGACACGCTCCCCCACGGGATCTGAGCCCTGCAGACCTCAGTGTGGCTCCCAAATGAGCCAAGATCCCTCTGTGGCCTGGAGGTGTTGATTCCTCCCTGGATTCAAGCCCACCTGGGCTCACCTGAACCCACCTGGTGGCTTTGTCCACATCACTGTCACCCTGTGTGGCACAGCCAGACCTCCCCGGCCACCTCGCGCCCAGCACCCACCTCTCCTGCACTCAGAGCATCCCCAAATCCCAGCTCCTGGTCCGTGCCTTCAGCTCCTGCTGCCCTCCCAGCCCAGGAGAGGGATGTCATCCATGGAAACTTCAACCCAGGCGTTCCCAGGGATTCACTCTGCCTACTCTCCGCAGTGGTTGGGGAGGAGAATTCCATCTTTTATAGTAAAAAGTGGATAATTACCGGGTTTTGCACCACCCACAAGATCCCAGCGTTAATAGGGAGAGCTGGCAGGAAGGGAAAACTCACTCTACAGTGAGGAATGTGCTCAGCCTGGGTGGCTGAGGCACCCCTGGGTGAGGTTCAGCAGCACTCAGACCTGCAGGAGCAGAGGGAAGGGAAGTTCTGCTCCGGCCCTCAGGAGAGGGATGTCACCCATGGAAACTTCAACCCAGGCGTTCCCAGGGATTCACTCTGCCTACTCTCCGCAGTGGTTGGGGAGGAGAATTCCATCTTTTATAGTAAAAAGTGGATAATTACCGGGTTTTGCACCACCCACAAGATCCCAGCGTTAATAGGGAGAGCTGGCAGGAAGGGAAAACTCACTCTACAGTGAGGAATGTGCTCAGCCTGGGTGGCTGAGGCACCCCTGGTGAGGTTCAGCAGCACTCAGACCTGCAGGAGCAGAGGGAAGGGAAGTTCTGCCCCAGGAGGATCCATGAGGGGCACGGGAGCATTCCCTGCTGCTGAGCAAATCCTCCTCCTTTGTCCTCCCCATCAGGAATTCCGGGTTAGCCCACTGGTTGTCCCCCTTCCTCCCCAAATCCCCTCGGGACAGCTTTAGCAGATGCCAGCCCACCAGTCCCAAGGATTTTCCTCACAAATGGGATGAATTAACCCTCTCCAGGCCTGCCAACACCAGCCCACATCTGGATCCACACCTTGATTTTCCTTGGTAGGTGCTCGGGAGCTTCCCCTTGTTCCAGGTGATCCAGGGGCGGCTCAGAGAGGCTCAGACCTCCTTCCTCCTCCTCACCTGGGCCCTGGAAGGAGAATCAGCATCCCCTGGTCCAGCCTCAGCGATTTCCTTGGGATCAGCCACTGGGATTCAGCCACTGGGATTCAGCCGGGGTCCCAGTGAGGGGGAAGATGGAGGTGGCAGAGGGGCAGCAGGGGAGGGGGTGCCCAGACCCCCACGGTGAGAACACCCAGCCCTGTCCTTCCCCCCCTCCCCGAGCCCCTCCCCATTGCTCCTCACCCCGGGGGCTTGGGAGAGCAGAGGGGGGGCGATGGGAGGGGGTTTCATGCTGGAAAGGGGGGGGATAAAGGATAAAACACACTGCCCCCCTAGCTGTGCTCCAAAAACCCTTCAGCACCCCCGCTCAGGCTGTGAGCCAGCCGGGGGGCACTGCCAGGGACCCCCTGTGCCCCCAGGCCCTGCCATGAGGGTGGGCACGGCGGGGACGGGCACTCACGGTTCCCGGGAAGGAGCGGTGGGACGCGGGACGCTCCGGGGGTGTCCCCAGGGTGGGAGCGGTGCCGGGAGGCGCTGGGAAGGAAAAAACCCCAAGTGAGGGTAGGACATCAGCAGGAAAGGGGGGAAAAGGGAGGGATAACGGGATACCTGACGGGAGAGCGCCTGGCGGCGGCTCGGGGCAGCATCTTCCTCACCTGCGGCACCGGCCCGTCCCGCGCGGAGCTGGCGACACCAGGAGGGGCTCCGGCAGCGCCGAAACAGCATCGAGCCCCCTCCTCACCCACCCCCCAAAGTGGGGAGACCCCCGCGAGAGAGCCGCGATGCTCCCGGGAGCATCATCCCGCCCCGGCGGGGACCCCCGGCGCCCCCTCCCCACCAGCCCCCGGGGGGCTCCGGGGGAAGGACAAGTTCGGGGGCTCGGCAGCCGCTTGGACCGTCCGTGGGCCCAGGCCCGGTGGGACAAAAGGGGCGGGAAAGCCGTCGGAAGTGATGCGGCAGTGACGCGCCCTCGCATGACGTCACGCCGGGTTTAGGGGCGTGACGTCACGGCGCGACAGGAAACACCTCGCTCAGAGCCGCCTGTTTATTGGTGAAAAGACTTTATTGGGGTAAAGAAAAAAAGGTGAAGGGGGTGCGCCAGGCCGGGGACCGGCCCCGGGCTGGCGTGACGTCATGGGGTGAGGTGTGACGCAGTTCCTCCATCCAGGTGTGGCGGTGGAAGCGGGACCCCCGTCCTACCTGCAGCGGCCACCGCGCAGGGAGCGGCGGGTCAGGCGGGTGAGCAGCACCTTCACCCGGCCCCAGTGCGAGCGCCCGTCCTGCGGGAGAGGCGCGGTCAGCGGGGACACCCCCGGGGCCCCCCCGCCGCTCCCCGACCCTCCCCAGCCGTACCTTGTCCGGTGCCGGGACACCCGGCCCGCCCTCGGCGGGGTCCAGCAGGCTGGGGGAGCTGACCGAGTGTCCCCACAACCTCCGGCACGGCCCGGGATCGGCTGCTGCAAGGGGGAGCAAAGCTGGTCAAGCTTGGGGGTCGGGGGGGCATCGTGCTGCCTTCCCACATGCTGACCCCTCACCCGGTCCCGCCATCCCACCCCGCTCACCTGGCACCGGTGCTGCCATTCCCGCATCCCCCAGCGCTCCCCTGGCCCCAGGTGCCGTCATTCCCGAGCCCCCCCCGCTCACCTGGCACCGGTGCTGCCATTCCCGCATCCCCCAGCGCTCACCTGGCCCCAGGTGCCGTCATTCCCGAGCCCCCCCCGCTCACCTGGCACCGGTGCTGCCATTCCCGCATCCCCCAGCGCTCACCTGGCCCCAGGTGCCGTCATTCCCGAGCCCACCCTGCTCACCTGGAGCCTGGCTGTCCGAGCAGGAGCGCGGCCGGAACTCCTCACCCCTCCAGGTGCCCAAATCCTGACTCGGAGGCTGCCGGCTGGGCTGCGGGCGAGGAGAGGACGGGCAGGGTGTGAGCTGGGACCCCCACACCCCCTCCCCGTGCATCCCCCTCCTCCCGGCGCTCACCAGCGTGGCCGGGCGGGCGCAGCGGGCTCCGGCCGCCTGCTGCCGGAGGGCGCGGTTGTCCTGCTGCAGCCGCGCCAGGCGCTCCAGCATCTGGCACACGTGCTCCAGGTAGCGCAGCCCCTGCCCCGACACCGCGGCCTCGGGCACGGCCCGGGGGTCCCGAGGGGGCCGAGCCGCCCCCTCGGCCTCCTGGGGGTCCCGCGGGGGCTCTGCCAGGTCGGCGGCGCTGGCGCTGCGCCTGCTGAGCTGGCGAGGGCAGCGCTGCCTCCTGCTCCGCTGCGCTGCCTGCAGCAGCCTCCTGCTGGCCGAGCGGCTCCGGGGGGGCTCCTCTCCGGGGGGCTTCTCCTCCGCCGGGAAACCGTCCAGGGAGAAGCGGCTCTCGGAGCACGGCAGGGTGCGGGGCGAGTGCTCGCTGCTGGCCATCTCCACGCCGGAATCCTCGGACTCGGACTTGAGGAACCTCCCGCCGGCCGGGGGGCTGCTGGGGGGCTGCGCTGGCGGCGGGGGGGGTCCCCGGGTGCTCATGCCCCGCGGGGGCTGCCGCGGGCTCTCCTGCAGCCGGCGGTAGACGCTGGCGGAGGTGCGCACGATGCAGCTCTCGGCCGACTCCCAGGGACCATCTGCAGGGCAAGGGAAAATGGGTGGGCTCAGCTGGGGGGTCCCTGGGCAGAAAACTGGGTGCCCACCACCCCTGTAAGCCCCCTGCAGCAGCTCCAACCGTGCTCAAGGCCGCTCTCCCCCCTGCCCAGCAGCTGGGAATACGCTCCTACAACCCCAGTGTGTTGTCTCTACTCCCCAAAAACAAGGCCCTGGCCTCGGCCATTCTCCTCCTCCTCCCAAGCTGAGCTGCTGGGGGGGCACCCACGCCCCCCACCCTGACCTGGGCAGGGCTTTTGAGCCAGATCCTTCCTGTATCCCCCTCCAGCTCAGTGCCAGCAACCCAGGACACGGCTGGGGGATCTCGGATCTGGGATGGCTCCAGGACCACCAGCTCCTCGCACCTGTCCCCGTAGGATGGGTGGCATCGCCAGCCGGGATGTGCCCCCCAGCACCCCGCAGCTCCAGCGGGGATCGTGCTGCATCCACGGCAAGGTCTCTCCGTGCCCAGCACCCGCTCCCTTCCCAGCCAGGCCGCGGCTCAGGGAGGTGGCAGCGGAGCTTTGGCACCTCCTGCGGGCTGCCCACCCCCCAAAGCCCCGCTCGAGGGGGGCTTACACCCCCTCGAACGCACTCACAGCAGCTGAACCTCCTCTTCCAGACGGCGCGGGAGCCACCCCACATCGCCGAGAGCCAGAGCCGAGTGCCGGGCGCGCGTCCCGGCGCTCCCTTTTATTGCCACCCCAGCCGGCGACGGGCCCTGCATCCAGAGGCACCTCATTACCCGACCGGTTCCCAACTGGTTCCTCGCAGCGTTTGGGATCAGCGATACTGGCTGGGCCGGTGGTTAAGGACTCCTTCCCACCCCAGCTGGGAAGGCGAGAGGGTTGTTTGGGCGCCGGCAGGCAGCCAGGTGCCGCCTGCATCCCACCGAATTCCAGAAAACTCACTCAGGGCTCCAGCGTGGGCTGAATTCGCCGCTCGGGGGTCTCGGTGCTCCCAAATTCCTGCCCCTCCTGCGGCCACGGTACTCACCGTGCATCCCTCGGGGGCTGGAGAGGCCGAGGGGAGCCGGGAAGTCGCGGCCAGCCCCGGGACAATCCGGCCGCTCAGTGGGATTGAAGCGCAGCAATGCCGGGGAGCAGCCCGCCCGCCCCAGCAGGATTGAATCCCAGGAATTCCGGGGGGCAGCCCCTCCACCGCAGCTCCGTGGCCGCTGCCAGCATCCCCCTTCCCACACGCCGCGATTCCACAGGCTTCGGGACCCCACGTGCCAAGGGGCCGCTTCCCCCGCCACCACGGGGGTGTCACCGCAGCCCCACGGGCGTGGGGGGCACCGGCAGGGTGAGAAGGGGGTGGGGGGTCTCCATCAGCTCCTCCTGGGGGTGCCCCCCGCCTTGGCAGCTCCAGCTCAGCCCCGGATACCTCCCAGATGTTGCTGCTGGAGGGGTCCCGGCACAGCTGGGCTGTGGCACACTCGGAGGTGGGCCCTGGATTTTGGAGACCCCCACGCCGCATTTGGAGACCCCCCACCGGCCCGTCAGCCCAAACATGGGAAGGGAAAACCTGAATTCCCAGCGCAGCCGGTACCTGGGCCCCTCCCAGCAGGGAGTGGGATGGAAACCAGGGCTGCAGGGACCCCCTTTAGCACAAACTGGGTGTTCCGGGGAACCCCCGGGCTCCTTCTCAAGCACAAACACAAACTGGGGTTCCAAGGACCCCAGGTTCCCTCTCCAGACACCTCAAAGCAGAGATCCCTGAGGATCCCCTCCAGCATGATCCTCGCAGGCTGGGACCCCGAGGGAACCCCCAGCCCAGGGGCCACCGACTCACCGGGGTCAGCACGGAGCGGCTGCACCGTGAAGGCTCCGCGGCGGCGCAGCATCCTCGGGGCGTTCCGGGAGCGAGGGGGGAAAAACCGGGAATAGGGAGCGGGCAGGGAGCACCGGGAGGCGGCAGGGAGCACGGGGGCTGCTCCTCCGCTGCTTTATCCGGCGGGGCCGGGGGCGGCACAGCCCCGGGGCGGGGCGGGGGTGGGGGGCCGCCCCCTGCCTGGGCAGCCCCTTCGCCCCCAGCCCCAGCTGTGTTATCCCAGGAGGGCTCAAAGCGTTTATTCTTCTTTTTCCCGTGTGGAGAGGGCGGGAGAAGGGCAGGACGATCATCATCATCATCATCCGCCTCCCTGCCTGGGTGTCATAGAGCCGTGGAACGGTTGGGTTGGGACCTTAAAGCCCATCCAGTGCCACCCCTGCCCTGGGCAGGGACGCCTCCCACTGTCCCAGGGCTGCTCCATCCCAGGCTGATCCCTTCCATCCTGGGATCCAGGGGCAGCCCCAGCTGCCCTGCGGTGATTAATTGGGAATTCGATGGTGGGAGCTCCATGACAGAGCCCAGGGCTCACGGGGGGCTGTGGCACACCCCGAACAGACCCCAGTGAGAGCCCAGGCAGGAGGGGAGGGGGCGGCCCTGGCCGTCCCTGCTGCAGAGGGACAGGGGAAGGGACAGGTCTCTCCCAGGCCGCTGATAACAGCGAATCCCAGATAATAGCGAATCCCAGATAACAGCAACGCCCAGATAACAGCAAAGCCATCTCCGTGCACGCGGGCACGGAGGGCGGGGAGCGGCGATAAGAGCACCTGGAGCAGGACAAAGGCCTCGGCCAACAGCCCCCAATAAACTCGGACACCTCCCAGGGACACGGGGAGGGGCCAGCCAGCCCCGAGGGCAGCCCCGACCTTCCCGGGAGCAGGACAAGGGGCGGCACCGGAGCACCTGGACCCCCCACCCCCGGTGCAGGCAGCAGGGCTGAGGGGTCTGGGGGGGTCCCTGTCTGCACCCCGGGTTTGGGGTAGAACCCTCTTCCCCCTGCCCTGGGGTCCCGGCACAGAGCAGACACGGCAGTGGAGCAAATATATATTATATTTAAAGATAATCCGCTTTAATTCCTCGGAGAAGCCCTTTGCAGTCAGTGCACAAGCGGTGCCAGCCCCTCTCCGGTACCCAAGTGCTCAAGCGACCCCGCCCCAATGTCCCCTCGGTGTCCCCCAGGCTGAGAACTCACCCAGCTCATCACACACACCCACGAAGGGGGCGGCTACACCGCATCCCCCCCAAATCCCATCCATCCCCAGCCTGGCAGCGCCCCCAGCCCTCCAGGCCAGCCCCACCGCGGTGGGGTGGGACAGCCCCGGCCCACGGGGGATGCGGGGTGACCGCACCGCGCGGTGCCGGCGGCCGGGGCTCAGGAGCGGGGGGACACGGGACGGGGCACGGGCCCCCCCGGGGGTCCCTGGTAGCGCAGGCGGGCGTGTTTCTCGCAGAACAGCTCGTCCCCCACCCAGAAGTGGCCGCGCATCTTCAGGCTGAGGCCGCAGTCGGCGCAGGTGTAGCAGGACGGGTGCCGGTAGCGGCCGTCCTGGATCCGCACCGCCTGTGTCCTGCGGGGGTGGGGACAGGGGGTCAGCCGAGCCACTCCGTGTGTCCCCAGCGTCCCCTCCCACCCGGGCGCAGCCCCATGGTGGCCCTGGAGCGATGGCAGGGATGGATCCCGCCCCAGGACCATTCACACCCCAGGACCGCCCCCATTTTCGCCCTGAAGAAGCAATGGCAAGGATGGATCCTGCCCTGAGACCCCCAGACCCCCAGCCCCATTCCCACCCTACCCTCAGCCCCATTTTAACCCCTCCGGCAGTGACAGCAGGGATGGGTTCTGCCCCGAGACCTGCCCCACCCACACCCAGGATTATTTTATCCCTGCCGGGAGCAATGTCAGGATCAGATCCTGCCCCGCACGGGAGAGCAGCCCCTTTTTGGCTTTTCCAGCAGGGATGGCAGGGACAGACCCAGCCCCGGGACCCCCAGGCCCCCAGCCCCACTCACGCGATGCTGCTCCCGCACTTCTCACAGACGTGCAGCTTCTGCACCCCGGCCACGGGCTTGCGGGCCCCGGCCGAGAGCCGGCTGGGGAAGGGGGCTGCGGGGCCTCCTGTGGGGACACCAGGCCATCAGGGTCCTGCCACCCCCGTGCCAGACCTCCCACGGCCCTCCGCGCCCTCCTCACCTCCTTCCTCATCCTCCAGCGCCTCCTGGAGCAGGCGGAAGGTGCTGGATTGCCGCGGGGCCGCCCGCAGCTCCCGGTTCTGCTGCAGCATCTTGTAGACCTCCGAGTCCTCCTCCAAGCGCCTCATGGCCGGCTCCGAGCCCTGGCTGCGGGGCGCAGCCCGAGGGGAGATTTTGGGGGGTTCCCAGCGCCCGGATTCCAGGATCCACCCGGCTGCACCCCACGGCCCGTCCGCCACCTGCTCCCTCCACCCCGGGAGCTGCCCCAGCCTGCCCGGCCCTCCCACGGCCCCACCTGCCTACAGGTGAGTTAACCCTTTCCACGGGCTCCCTCAGCACCCACGGGTGACAAACCAGCGTGGGGACACGGGGCTGGGGGCTTCCCTTCCATGGTGTCCCCCCCACAGAGCCCCCAGCCCGCTCCGTACCTGGGCCAGGTGCTGGGACAGGGGGAGGAGAGGCGCCTCTCCCGGGGGGTTGCCCAGGGGTTTTGGGGGGCTCCGAGCTCCGGTGAGGGTGGGCGCGGGGGGGGAGGCAGGACGGCCCCCTGGGAGCTGCTCTGGCGGCTCAGGCGTCGCACCTGGCAGGGGGAGAAGTGAGGAATGTCCTGGGGGGGCTGGGCTGGGCTGGGCTGGGGCGCTGCAGCAGCCCCCAAAAGACCTGAGGGTGCCCACAGACCCCCCCCCTCCCCCCAGACACCCCAAGGACACCCGGCCCAGGCCCAGGGGCTTTCCCCAAGCCCAGATCTCCAGAGGGATGCAGGGATGCTCCGTGGGGCTGCTGCTTCTCCTTCCCACCCAGGCTGGGGCCAGTGGGACCCCCCAGAGGGGCCAGGGCAGCCCCCCCACCCCATAACCCAGCGCCTCTCCCCTCCCCTCCCCTCCATCTGCTCCTGCTTAGCGGCCCCGGCGAGGCCGGGAAGCGCAGCCCGGGCTAAGTGGAAGCCGATGTTGCCGGGAGCAGCTGCCACGCAGATGGGATTGGGAATGGGAATGGGAATGGGAATGGGAATGGGAATGGGAAAACCCCGCGGGACCCCGGGTGGGCGCAGGGCACAGGGACCCCCTGCCTGGACCCGTGGAGAGGGAGAGGGGCAGCGCCGGGGCTCTGTGGGGTCACGAGGGATGAGCTAAACTTAGGCACGGGAGGAGCCGGGCCTTGGCCTCATCCCTGGGATGCGAGGAGGGGTGGGATGGACCAAGGGCAGCCACCCCCTCACCACCCCTGGGCCGCGGGGGCTTGGGTGGGGGCTCGGGCACGGCACCCTCATGTCCCCAACCCTGTGGCGGAGCTGGGAGGGACCCTGGGGGGCAGGGACGGACCCGGTGGGACAGGGAGGGACCCTTCGGAGCCGGCACCAAAGCAAACAAGGAGCTGGGGAGGAAGGAGGGAGCGGGCCGGAGGAGCCAAGGGGCGGCCGGGGCTGCGGCCAAAGGCAGCTGGGAAGGGCCGCGCTCGGGGCCGCGGCGCTTCCCAATTTGGGCTTGAAAAACAAGAAAAAGAGAAAGAGGGGAGGGAGGAAAGGAGGGAGACGCCAAGGCCGGAGCCAGCGGCTGCCCGCAGGGAGGATGGGGCGGCCGCGGGCATCCTGGCACCGAGCTGGGGAGGGAGGAGGCAGCCAGCCCCCGGGCATCCCGATCCCTGTCCGGGGTGTCCCGATCCCTGTCCGGGGTGTCCCGATCCCAGTCCCGGGGTGTCCCGATCCCTGTCCGGGGTGTCCCGATCCCAGTCCCGGGGTGTCCCGATCCCAGTCCCAGGGTGTCCCGCCGCGGGTCCCTGCCCGGCCAACACCCCAGTGCCCGGGGCTGGCAGGAGTGGGGCTGGGCCTTCCCAAACTGGTTTGGCCTCCCCAGGCTGGCGCCGCTGCCAAGAGGAGCAAAACATCCCTGGGCAGGTGCGGCGGTGCCCGCGGGCCGGGGGTGCTGCCAGCGCGGCGGGGAGGGGACACCCGCGGCACCCACCCCAGACGGGGACCCCGAGGGACAGCGGGGCTGGGCAGTGACGTGGCCGTGGGGGTGCAGAGGGAGTGGTTTGGGGGGGCTCAGAGTGGGGTTGTTTTGGGGCTCAAAGGAGGGTGGTTTGGGGACTTCAAATGAGGTGATTTGGGGGCTCGAGGGGGGAAGGTTTAGCATTGCAAAGGGGCAAGGTTTGGTCGTTCAAAGTAGGGCGGTTTGGGCTTTAAAATGGGGGTGGTTTGGGGGTGCAGAGGGGGATGGTTTGGGGGTGCAGAGTGGGATGGTTTGGGGGTGCAGAGGGGGATGGTTTTTGGGTTCAAAAAGTTCTGGTACCCCCAGCATCTCTGCCCGGCCCCCTGCAGCCCCCCCCAGCTCCCTGCTCACCTGGGGGAGGCCGGGACAGGTAAACTCCTGCTCCAAGGGCTGTGAGCTGGGGGAGAGAACAGAGCCATCAGGGGGGTCCCTGGCCCTCCCCAGCCCCCTTCTCGCCCCCAGCCCCACACACAGCCCGGTGCAGCCTTACCTGGCACTGCCAGGTGGGTGGGTGAGGGATGCCAGGCCGGGGTCGAGGGTCCTCAGGGCACTTCGGCTCTCACTTGGCACCTGCAGCGTGTCCTGGGGAGGGGAGGGTGACACCAGCAGCTGCCACCAGCCCTGGCTGGGGGTCCGGGGCGTGCAGAGGCTGCCCGGGGCTCACCTGGAAACGCGAGGCCAACATCTCTGGCGAGGTGTCCCCGTTGGTGTGGCTGGGAGATGGCACCGGGGACCTGAGGGCCAAGGGAGAGCAGCAGGGTTTGGGATCTGCCCCAGGAGCCCAAAACCGCCCGGTGTGACCCCTCCCTGCAGCCCCGGGAGCCGCGGAGCAGCCGGGTCCCCAACTGGGACCAGTTGGCCAGGTAACGGCTGCCAGCGCTGCCTGGCCTCATTAGCACCCGACTCCTTAATTAGAGAGCCGGGCCAGGCTCCCGCGGGGGTGGCACCGCCCCAGGAGTCACGGAGGGGGAGGACAGGTGACACACACGTGGTTGGGGACCCCAGCCCGCGTGCAGACACCGCTGGCACCCAGGGCCAGGTGTGGGGGCTGCCCCAGCACCCACCTCTCCACGTCCAGCCGCAGCTGCCCCGGGCTCTGCCTGATCTTGTTCTGCGCCTCCACGTTGAGCATCTCAGCCGTGCTCTCCCCATTGATGGTGACAATGACATCTCCCGGCCGAAGGTCACCCGTGGCCGCCTTCCCGTGCTCCGTCACCTCCGCGGAGAAGGGGACATGACCCGGTGACCCCCCCCGTGCAGCGCAGCATCCCCCGTGCAGCCCCCACCCTGCTGGGATGCTCCCGCCCTCTGGAATCGCCAGGGCCCTGCCAGAACAGCGCCAGACCCGATGCCAGGAGGGGACCACGGCCTTGGAAACAACTCCCGGAAATTTGGCACGGCCCAGCCCAGCCCAGGGGCCACGGGAGCCCCCCCAGCCGCCGCCACCCGCCGTGGGCCGTTCCCACGGAGCAGGATCCCCCAAGGACAGCAAACAGGATCCGCTGCCCGGAGCAGCCCGGCCCGCCCGGAGCCCCGGCGGCTCTCCCCGGGCCGGGGACACGGGGGGGCTCCTACCTTGGAGACGGTGATGGGCTTCCCGAAATCTCTTCCCCCGGAGATGCGGAAGCCCCACGGGGCCGGGCCGGGCAGTGTCACTGTCACCGTCACCGGCATGGCAGCGGCGGCTCTGGGTGGGCAGGAGCGAGGTGTCAGCGATCCCGGGCGCCGAGGGGATGAGGTGGAGGGGACCCCCCTGATCCTACCCACAGACCACACAACGAGGGCCTCCCTGTCCCCGCTGCACCCTGAGGGTCCCCAGCACCGGCAGCGCTTTCCTTCCGGGGAGGGGACCCAGGTCTTCGCTGGGTGTCAGCAGCCACCGCCGCTTCCTCCTGTCCCCCGAGGCTGGCGGCTTCCTCCCCCGGGCCGGGGGGTCCCAGGCACCCGGCGGTGCAGCTGAGACAGCCAAGGTCGTTCCCAGGAGCTGGAGCAAGGCAGGAAATCGGTGACGCCTTGGCAGCAAGGCCGGCGCTGTGGCCTGGCAGAGCTGAGCCAGTGCGGTTTGGAGGGGAGGATGTGGCAGCGAGGGACGGGTTCTGCTGCTCACCACAGCAGCGTCCGACACCCAGCAGCCCCAGTCCTTCACCCCACAGCAAATCCACACTGGTAAAGGACGCTGAGGATCCCCCGGGGGTGGCACAGGGTCCCCGTGGCACCCCGGTGAGCGGCACAGCGCTTGGTTCAGATGGGATGGGTGGGGATGTGCAGCCGCATCTCCTAAATCCACACCAGATCCCATCCCACCCATCCCGCCACAGCCTGGGAGAGCTGGGCAGCCCATCTGGAACCGGGCACCCCGTCCGGCACCGGGCACCCCGTCCGCAGCCGCCGGGAATGTTAAAAATCCCAAGAGCACAAAGAGGGGCTTGAGAGGCTGCCCGGAAGAATTTCCTGGGCTGGGCTTCCAGCGCCGGGAGCAAACCCCAAACCCAAACCCCCTCCCCATGCCCAGCCGTGCTCAGCATCCCTGGGCAGCGAGGGCTGCCAGCCCGGGGACCCCCACACTCACTGGGCACCAACCCTAGATCCCCCGACAGCCCTGAACCTCTTCTCCAGTCCCTGCACCTCCCCTCCGTGTCCTGCACCCCTTCTCCATCCCTGTCCCCAGCCCTGTCCGTGTCCCCCTTCTGCACCCCCTGCTCCCCTCCCCGGCCCCCGCACCCCACCTGTGTCCCCGCTCCCTCCCGGCTCTGTCCCCGCCGCACAGCGATGTCTTTGTGCCCGCGGCGCCTGGCGGTGCCGCCTGGCACCCGCGGGGCGAGCGGCGGGGACGGGCGATGCCAGGAGGCGCGGGGACTCAGGGACTTGGCACTCGCGAGGGACGTGGGGACACAGTGTCGGGACGTGCCCGCACATCCCTCTGCACCCCCGGGCACCAGGACCCCCGACGGACGGCCACCCCCCACAGCCGCAGCCCCCCGCGCCCCCGCGCACTCACCGGGGCGGCCGAGCCGGGCGGATCCCCGGGCCCCACGCAGCGCCCGGCGCCGCTCCCCGCCCCGCGGCTCCGCGGTGGGACGGGTCCCGGGAGCGGCTCCTCCCCAATCCCGGCACTCTCAGAGTCGGGCTGAGCTGAGCTTTAATGACGGAAAAGAAGCGAAGGCGACTCCCGGACACGCACCCACATCCCGGGGCACGGCCGTCATGGTCAGGCCCGGCACCGCGCAGAGCCCCGGGGCGACCCCCGGGGCGGTGGCACCGGGCGGCGGTGAGGAGGGGGCGGGTTAAGGCACCGGGGCGGGGGAGACACCCCGCGCGGGGGGATTCGTCCCTGTTAGAAGCAGCCCCATAGGGGCGGGAGGGAGCTGGAGGCACTTCATCCCCGTAGGGGGACACGGCGGGGACACGGCGTGGCCGAGGAGGGACAGGGGGAAGCCCCCGGCCCCACTCCTCCCCCCGGGTCCCCACGGCCGCGGGTCACACCGGCGCCACGTAATTCCCGGGGAAAGTGCCGAATTTCTGCGTCCTCCTGGACACTCCTGTGGGTAGAAAGACGCGGAGAGGCGGTGAGGGGCGAGGGTGGCACCTTGTCCTCATCCCTGTCCCCAAGGCGGTGGCCACGCACCCACGAACCAGCCGTCGTCGCATTGCTGCATGACATCCACCCTGTCCCCTTCCCGCAGCTCCAGCTCGTCGGCGTTTTGGGGCCGGTACTGGTAGAGTGCCCGGTACCTGCGAGACAAAGCATGGGCAGAGCCCACCCCTCACCCCCACGGATCCCTCGTGGGGACACCGCGCCCCGGGGACGCTCCTGGCGCTGCTTACGGGGTCCACCGGATTTCGGAGCCGTTGTAGGACGGGGCGGGCTCGGGGCGGGCGCTGGTTTGTGCCGCCGGGCTCGGGCGCTGTGGGGGGACACGGAGGGTTCAGGGCGGACCCCGCAGCCCCAGCGGTGCCCGGGCACGATGCCGGGGCGGGGGGCACTCACCTGCTCGGGGGTCCAGGCGGGACGCCAGGGCTCCTGCGGGTGGGCGGCCGCAGGGTGCGGGGGGCTGGCAGAGGCCACCAAGGGGCTGGGGGTGCCAGCGTGGGGCAGCTTTGGGGACGGGGGGAAGGTGGCACCGAGGTGGCGCGGAGAGGAAGGTCGGCCGCCCGGCACCCCGGGACCCCGGAGCGCTTCCCGGGGGGAGCCGGCGGGAGCCTGGGGGATGCGGGGGCCGGGCGAGCGCTGCAGGGAAGGGGATCCGGCGGCGGGCCGGGGGCTGGCGGGGGCTGGAGAGGAGGGGATGTCCTCGGCGGTGGCTTTGACCCGCGGCTCCTTCAGCACCTGGACGTAGGTGGCGGGGAAGATGCCCTGGCGGCTGGTGCCCGAGATCCGCCCCTCGTACCAGTTCTCGTTCACCCGCCGCACCAGGCAGATCCGCTCGCCCTGCCGCGGGAGGAGAGGGCGGGTCAGCTCGGAGCGGCACGGAACGGCCCGGAACGGCACGGCACGGAGCCGCGGTACCTTGCGAAAGGAGAGCTCCACGTGCAGATCCCCTCGGAAGTTGTAGAGCGCCAGCGCCTCGCCGTATTCCAGCACCTGGAGCGTGGGAGCCTTGATGGGCTTGGGCACCTCCGTGGGGGGCAGGATCTGGGTGGGACACGCGGGTGAGGGGCAGCGCCAGGAGCCCCCGGCCCCGCTGTCCCCTCTCGGCCCGGGCTCACCTCCACGTAGTTGGAGGGGAAGATGCCCACGCGGCCGTGGTGCTCCCCCTCCAGCCAGTTCCTGTCCACCTCCTTATGGATGTAGACGATGTCCCCCTTCTGCAGCGTCAGCTCCCTGCAAGGGACACTGTCACACCTGTCCGGGGGCACAGACCTGTCCCCGGCTCGGCTGGCAGGGCCACCCCACGTGCTGGGGCTCCCCCAGTGCCCATCCATCCCCCGAGGGGACGGCGGGACCCAGGAGTGACCGCGGTGCTTACTTGGGAGACTCAGCTTGGAAGTTGAACTTGAGGCGAGCAGCTTTCATCTGGGGAGGGGGAGCAGAGCTTACAGGGAGCCACCCCCAGTCCCAGCCCCCCCAAACCCCACATGGCACGGGACCATCCCATCCTCACCTTTTTCTCCTCCCTCTTGACGGCCTCCACGGGGTCCCCCAGGTCTGACAAGCTGGGGAGGGTCCCTGGCCTGAGGGTGTCTGTAAAGAGCGGGGTGTCACTGGCCGGGGTGCTTGGGGTGCCCCACAGCAGGGCTTGGGGGGCTCAGGGGGATAAAGGGGGCTCACCTCTGCCAGGGCTCCGGTCAGTGGCCAGCCCCAGCCCACCCCGCTCCATGCTGGGGGTGGCAGGTGAGTGGTGGGTGACAGGGGGGCTCCACAGCCGGTGGGGGGACAGGGGGCTCCTGTGGGGTGACAGTGGCTCAGGGCAGGGCTGAGCCTCATATCCAGCCCTGCTGCCATGAGCCCTCCCTGCGCTTGGGGGGGCGGGACCCCTGCATCCCACAGATCAGGACAGGGAGGTCCTGTGAATTGCATGGACCGGGACCCCTGGGTCTCATGGACCAGGACATCAGAGACCCTTAGGACTCCTGGATCCCATGGACCAAGACCCCTGGGTTCCACAGACCAGGAATTCGGGGTCCCCCAGAACCAGAATCCCAGAATTCCATGAACTAGGATATTGGGGTCCCCCAGAACCAGGACCCAGGGATCCCTGGGTACCCCAATGTGAGGACACTGGGGTCTCCCAGAACCAGGACCCCCGGGTGTGCTCTCCTCGCCCCTCCAGGGGCTCCTCCCCGGGGCAGCCAAGCGGGACAGGTCCAAAGTTTTCCGGCAGCGCCGGCAGCACGGCCCCGCTGCCGCCGAGCAGGAAGCGCCGGGGAGGGCTAATGAATAACCCCGCTCCGGGGGGCGCTTAAAGAGCCCAAATGCGCCCCCCAAGCCGGAGGAGGGGTTGGGGAGCGGGGGAGCCACCCCCGTGCGCCCCTGGGGGTTACGGTAGGGCCCACAAGAGGAGGCGCTTGTGCTTGTTTGTTTGTTTTTGTTTGTTTGTTTTCCTGCCGCTGCCGGGGCACAGAGGGGTCTGTGGGGACACCCCGGCGTGCCCACCCCATCCCGGGGTGCCCACCCATCCCGGGGTGCCCACCCCATCCCGGGGTGCTCCGGTACCCGCCGGCACAGCTGTCCCCTCCCCGTGCCCGTGGGGACGTGGGGACACGGCGGTGGGAATCCGAGCGCCGTCACCTCCCCTGGGACGGAGCCAAAGGCCGGGACACGGCGTCCCCGCTGCAGCGACGGGGGAAAGGGTCAGCCCCGCTCCGGCCCCGTCCCACCCAGCGGGCAGCCGGCCCGGCGCCGGGTCCCACCCGTGCCGGGGTGTGGGGGGACCGGGGGGCCAGCGCTGCCGCGGGGGGCTCGGTGGGGATCCCGTGGGGGATGCCGGGGGGCTCCCACCCCGCGGGACGCTGCAGGGACAGCCCGCCCCACACCCCCAGAGCGCGGTCCTGTCCCTCGCCTCGAGCGGGGTCTGGGCAGGGGGATTTGGGGGTGCGCGGGGTGGGAGCGGCCGCTGAACTCACCGAGCAGCCGGGGAGGCCGGAGCAGGGGAGCGAGCGGTGGGAGCAGCCGCCGGGCTCTGCCGGGAGGAGCGGGAGGGGGTGGGAGAGAAAAATTAATCATCCAGGAGGCCGAGTCTCGGCGGGAAGCGAAGGAGTCCAGCTCGGCTGCGCCAATAAACCGCCGGACGGACGGACGGACGGATGGGCTGGGTCCTAAAGCCCCACGGCCACGGCTCCAGGCCGCCGCTGAGCAGCCGTGCGTGGGTCCAGATGTGCATGGAGCCAGCCAGGCAGGCACCGAGCTGTGCACGCATCCAGATGTGCACGCAGCTCGCTGTGCATTCACCCGGCCGTGCAGGCATCCAGATGTGCAGGGCTCCAGCCGTGCACACATCCATCCAGTTGTGCACCCATCCAGCCGTGCATGCGCCCAGATGTGCATGCACCCATCCGAGCATTAATCCAGGTGGTGCATCCCACCACGTGCATGTCCGAGCCTTGCACAAAGGCTGAGCCCACAGCTGGGTGTGCCCACAGCTGGATGCCCTGGGGGAACCAAGCGGCGGCAGGAGGGGCCTGGGGTACCTGGCGGGGGGTCCGGTGTGCCTCCATGTCCCTCATGTCCTTGTCCAGCTCCTCGCTGAGCTGCTCCAGCTCCTGCTCCAGCAGCACCTGCACGGGCAGGACGGGGCAGTGGCAGGCCAGGCTGGCACTGCCCGCGGGCACCGGGACCCCCCTGCCGCCCCCTGCCCCCCGCCTGCCAGCACCACCTCACCTCGATGGACTGAGCCCGCTTCGGCCGCGCTGCTGCCGGGGTCTGGAAAGGGCACGGGGCCGGTCAGGGGTGTGCCCACCGCAGTGCCCACCCCCTCCCCGTGTGCCAGGACCTGCCTACCTGCTCCCGCGGAGAGAACTTCCCTGGTTCGTAGTCAAAAATGCTGCCAGGCTCGGCGGTGGCACCGGTGGCACCCCAGCGGGTCCTGTGGAGGACGGGAGGGGTTCAGCCACCGCCGCCCCCACCCCGTGGGCACCCACGACCCCGTGCCAGGCTCACCAGTCCATCCCGTTGTGCATTCCGGGGGGCTCAGCTGGGGCCGAGCCCCTCCTCCGCGGCTTGGGGGGCGATGGGGGCGCCGTGGTGGGGCAGGAATGGGTGTCCCAGTCGGGCTCTGAGGAG